AGATGGGGCTTTGGAGGTGAGGGATGCTAAGAAACTGAGCAGGAAACAGACCCACAGAGGAAGGGGCCCAGGTGGAGGCCAGTGCAGACTCAGCCAGCCCCCCACAGAGCTGTGTCTATCCTCAAAATAACAGCCCTGCAGTAAGCACGCCATGGGCCCAGCCTCTTCACAGAAACCTAGGAGATCTACGGCATCGACCTGTCCCATTTTTCAGGCAAGAAAAGAAGGCACTGGAGGGTTTCAGTTGACTTGCCAGAGATGCCAAGTGGCAGAGTCAAGATTCGGGTCCGGGTCTGGCCCCTGAGTCCTCACTCCTGCCCCTTACACTCCATTGGCACAGGAGACCCAGGCTGTGTGGAGACACTGTGGGAACAAGAAATGGGGGACACTCCTGTGGGAAGCTTTTCAAAGGGGGATCAGTGGAAAACCTCCCCCGGCTCAGCTAACTGGAAAGATGGTCTCCAAGGTGGAGGCCTTGTTTAAACGCTTGCCATGGCACTAATGGAAGAAGAACACCCACGTTCCTGAGAAGCAGGAGGAACGGGGTTCCAGTGCTGGCCTGTGGGGCAGGGGGTGGGCTTCACAAGCAACTTGAGCTCTTTGAAATGTGAATTCTCCAGCTGTGTATGGCAGTGACAATGTCCCGGTTGCACGGAGCGTTGAGATAGTGCTGGCACACAGGACACCTACCATCCCGGTCAGCCCAGGATTGCATTCAAGACATCGCCTCTGGGGCCCAAGGCCTGAGTCCTAACCCACTAGCACAGGGTTACAGGGGCAAAATCCCTAGTCTCGCGAGTGAGTCGGTGTCAGCCCAACCTCCTTTGCCCACCCCGGGGCAAGCACTCCGCGGCCAGGTGTCTCTGAAGACTCAGACAGCAGGGTTGCTTCTGCACTGGCAGGAAGGAAAGCAGCCAGCCCAGCCCTTGGTGCTTCTGGCAGCCCCACATGCTCTGCTGCTCCCCAGGAGGGTGAGGGGTGGGGTCCTCTTCAAATTACAAAGCTAATAATTGAGTGGAGGCAACAGAGGGAGGCCCCAGGAGGGAGCCCAGCTTGCTGCCTCAGCCCTGGGGGGGAGGGAGTGGAGACAAATGAACCCTGAGCTATTCTCTGAGCAGCAGGACAAATTCTTCCTTCTCTGTGTTCCAGGTGGAGGAGGATGGGGGGAGAGTAGGGAGAGGAGCTGGAGGGAGACCTTGGCCTGGGCTGGGCTGAGAGTCCTTTCTGTGCTATTGCGCTGCACTGGACCTTGGGCTGCCCAACCCATGGCCATCACACTGGGTGACCAGCCTCGCTACATCTTGGTCATCACATGTTTGTCCGTATGTACTCAGGGCTGCCATTTATTAAGCACCACTGCATCTAGCACCCTGCTAAGCACCTTATCCAGATAGCTCATTGAATGTGCACAGTTGCATGAGGTAGAAACTGTTGGGCTTTATTTTATAGAAGAAAAAACTTAGACAAGGGAAGTCAAGTGACCTGTCCAAGGGCACACAGCTGGTGCACGGTGGATTCTCCCACAGAGTCTTTACTCTTGATGCTATAATCCTGATCATATGCGAGTTTCTACACTTTTGCAAAGTCCCTGGTTGTCTCACAAACACTCTGAACACCACACGAGCGAAGCAAGGCTGAGGTCAGTGCCATTTTGCACGTGAGGAAACACGGGAGAATCGGCCTCCTGGGGTCATAGAATCGGGCAGCCACAGAGAAAGGAATGGACCCAGCCAGTACCTGGTGCCCAGCTCCACGCTCTGCCCACCACCCCCAAACCCAGCCTCTCTGTGAGCCCCTCATCACAGAGGCCTCCCTCCCCACTAGTCCCCCAAGGGAATGCAAAAGCAGTGTCCGAGAACTTTCCATGCGCTGCCAACCCCACGGCCCTTCATTTTTCCCCTCCCGGTGGCAGTAGGTGCCAAGGCTTCATTGTCAGGAAGACCTGGAAGGATCCTTAGCCCCAGTCAGCCCAGGTAAGCACCAGCCCAGTCACATTAGATCATTCATGTATTTTTTTTTTCTGTGCTATTTATCATTTTTTTATTGATTGATTTTTTTATTAATTTTTTTCTTATATCGTGGCAGTCTCCATAGTTCCCCCATCACCATATCACCCGTGAACCATCGCCATGTTCCCTTGTGTTCATCCCTCCTCTATTTTGCACCCCCTCCTACCCCCTCCTTTGCTGTATGCCTCAGATCCCTCATTTATTAAGTCAGAAATCAGAAATACTTTATGAAATGCCCTGATAGCTATAATGCCCAAACCTCTGCTAAAATTTGCAGGCTCTATAAAATATCTGAAACAAATACCACTCCCACTGGCTTGTAACCCCTTGTCAAGTCCTAGTCACCGCACAGCTAAAGGGCAGGACCACAGAGGAGAGGCAGCAAGCCCAAGGTCAAGCAGCAAGCCCAAGGTCAAGCGGTAAACAGAGCATAGCCAGGCGAGCCTCAAAGGCCTCTGGGCCCAGCTCAGCCCAACCCCAGCTCCATGCTGCCTGGTGTTTTACATCACCCACAGAGGCAGCCAGCCCCAAGGCTGCCCCTGGGAAGCTGCCACACACCCCACACCCCCACATCCCCCTCCAGCTCTGCAGTGCCAAGGAAGGGCATTCCCAGGACACAGGAGACTGCAGGGCTCTGGCTATGTAAATCCCAGTCCACTCAGAGTGCATCAATCCTGCAGCCAGGTTGAGACATTTTCTTGGAGTGTCCTGGAAAACTCAGGCGCATGTGGGGCTTTGCAAGCCTGAACCCCAGTTTCAGATGCTTTGTGGAGATGGGGACCGATGACGATTGTTGGGAGCTTGGACCAGCTGCAGGAAAGCTGTTCGTGTGTGTGTATGTGTGTGTGTGTGTGTGTGTGTGTGTGTGTGTGCGCGTGTGAAGTGCTATGATACTGAGTATTAAAATGCCAGAGAGGAGGACAAAGTAGAAAAATAAAGAAAACAAGTAGCCCTTCTCTAGGGGAACCAAGCAGCACTGAGTAGAAACCCCCGTGGTGGCTCCCCGCTATTACTCCTGGCCTGGGCTGGGGTGCTCGGAGATGTGTTCCGGCCTTTCTCAACACCCACGGCTCCCTGGGCCTTGTTTCCCACACTCCCTTCTCTCGGAACCCGCAGCAATCTCTTGGACTGGGGGTCAGGAGAGCCAGGGGGTCCAGTCCTGGTAGCACTTGCTCCCCACTCAGTGGACCTGAGCAAGGAGCCTCCCTCGCTGAGTCATTTTCATCTCCTGCCTCTCGTAGCCACCCCTCCCCGCTGCAGAGGGTCTAATGTGGCAGAGCCGGTAGGCTGAGTAGGTCACATGGGTTCTATCCAACCAGCATTGTTTTTAAATTTTTTCCAACTCTGGGTCTTCCTTGTAGCACAGGGGTTAGTCTCAGCCCTATTAAGCTATTGCCAGCCACTGCGGCATGAGTTTGATCCCTGGCCAGGGAGCTACCCACATGGCACAGCAGACCTCTCTTATCTTGCCCGCTGCTCCCCCTCAGCAGTGTATTTCAGTAGATTTCCCTGCTCTGCTCCCCACTCTGTCTCTGGTGAATCCTCTCACACACACCCCACCTCTGGCCTACACCCCAATTCTTGTATGCTAAATAAAATAAAATAAAAATAAATACTTTTTTTAAAAAAATTGTTTCCAACTCATTTAATGCACACATCTGGATTTCTAGCTTCTCTTGAAAAACCCAAAGATTTGGCCACACAGGACTGAGTGCCAGCTTGCCAGGGCCTCCCACTCATGCTGGCTTTGACGCGTTGGTTTCCTGCCTGGCACTGACGTAATGCATGAGAAGTCTTTGGGGAAGTACACAGATTCCAGGCATCTTCATTATAAATGGAACTTCTGGGCCCCCACTGTTTTTCTTTGACCTTGTTCATGTCTGTGGGGTTTTTTGGGCTTAGGTCTCCTCTCCATCTGTGAACTGAGGATGAGGACTGGGGGTGTTCCCAGAGCAGTCTTACCTCTGATACCCCGAAAGCCTCAGTGGGACAGCATATCTTAGCCCTCCCACAGCAGTCAGAGAGCCTCTGGGCTCCCCAGGCTCTGCCCTGAGATATATCAAAGAGGAGGGCAGGAGAGCTGGGTAAGGCACATGCAAGATTCACTGAGTTTCGTCTCTTTTAACCCACCCACACCCCATCCCTGAGACAGAGTCCAGCTCAAAAGACAGGAGCAAACGTGGGGGTGGGGCAGCCAGGGGAAGGAATGCACACTGGTTCTGATGACGGAATGGTGAAAACCCATCTTCCCGATGACACTTTCTATTTCTTTCTTTCACATCGCTGCTTTTTATCAACTTTTAATCAAAGATGTTTAATAAGCATCATGTCAATAAATCATTTTGCAATTTGTTTCAATAAGTACCACTCCACTTGGGAGAGGTGCTTAACTGGGGAAGGATCTGCTTCCAAGCTCTCATCTGGTTGTTGGCAGCACTGGACTCATTTATCTGGTTAAAGGGGGTTTACTGGAAGGGACTCCCTGGTGGCGCAAGGGGTTAAGTCTCAGCACAATGAAGCTATTGGCAGCCACTGCAGCATGAGTTCGATCCCTAGCCAGGGAGCTGCCCCACATGGTGCAGCAGACCTCTCCAGACTCCCCCGCTGCTCCCCTCAGCAGTGTATTTCAGTCAGTCTGCCTGTTCTGTTCACCACCTTGTCTCTGGTGAATCCTCTCACCACCTACACCTCCGGCCTACACCCCAGTTTTTGGATGAGTAAATAAAATAAATCTTAAAAAGGGGGTGTTGGATCTGGAACAGTGAGTAGCACCCACTTTTGGCAATCTTCTTGGTTTCCCTGAAAATCTCTAATCAGAAAAGTGTGAAAGCAACAGCCCCACTCAAGTGACGCTGCAGCTGTGGCTGGGACATACATGGGCCACAGAAACTAGAAAGAGTCAGATCTAAACACACACTCCCAGCCAACCCTGAGGCCAAGGAAATGAGGTAGAGGCCAGAATAAAGGAGACAATAGGAAACACATGAAAATGGCCTGAACTTTGAATTTGTATAGGCTATTTCTAAAATAGTCCCTTGTGGTTCACCCCTTCTAAGGTTGGTGCTTGTGTGACCCCTTGTCATTGGCATGCATAGTGGACACAGCGACTTACCTGTAATGACCAGAACATGGCACAGGTAAGTCACTGTGTCCACTCCCGTCCCTTTTAACCCACCCACACCCTGTCCCTGAGACAGAGTCTGGCTCAAAAGACAGGAGCAAACGTGGGGTGGGGCAGCCAGGGGAAGGAATGCACACTGGTTCTGATGACTGACTCCTGCCTGGCTGTCACTCTTTCTGCTTCTTCTCCTTGCTCTGATGAGGTGAGCTTCCATGCTGTAAGTTGTCCTGTGGAGAAGTACGTGTCACAAGGAACTGAGACTGGCCTTTTGCCAACAGCCAGCAAAGAACTGATGCCCTCAGTTCCAGAACTTAAGAGAATCCAGTCCTGCCAAAAACCAGATGAGCGCTTGGAAGCAGATCCTTCCCCAGTTAAGCCTTCAAATGAGGACAAGCTGGGCAATGCCTCACACGTGATCTAAGTCAGAATGTGCTGAGGCTCATCCAGAATCCTGTCCCACAGAAACTGTGAGATAGTAAAGTTTGGGATGATTTGTTCTACAACAATTAAATAACTAAGACAACTCTCTTCCTCAAGGAGATCCAACAGCAGAGGACAGATGACTTACCGGTTTGGGATATTTGAGCACAGTTCCTATCCAATCAGCCATGCAGACACAAATGCAATGCTTTGGAAGCTTGACTTAAATACAAAAATCAGAATGCAAAAACTTAATCAGGAACTTTAGTAACTTCTCAGATTCCCAAACAAGGACTATCTGACTCACAGACCCAGATAAATTATTTTAAAAGAAACAAATAAAAAAAAATAGCAAGAATAAAATTTGGAGGAATAGTAGAATCTAAAATGTTTTTAATGTCCAAATTTCCAAATAAAAATTGCAAAATATGCAAAGAAACAAGAAATTGTGACAGGTATTCCAGAAAACACAGGTGGGTTGTCAAAAGAAATTGACTCTGAGCATTGCCAGCTATCAGATTTAGTAAACAAACTCTCCAAATAGCAATTACAATATGTTCAAAAGTAAATCATGTTTAAAATTTCAAATGAAAGTATGACAGCAATGAACCAAACAGGAAGAGATTCTAAAGACAAAGAAATCATTAAAAAGGGGGATTTTCAGCTTGAAAAACACAATTGAAATGAAAATTATACTAGAAGAAATATATATGGCAGAGGAAAGAATTCATGAACTTGAAGACAGATTAATAGAAATTATCCAATCTGGAGAACAAAGTAATAAAAAATGGCCAAGATCTTCCAGAATCTAATGAAAAACATTAAATTTAAAGTTCAGCAAAACTCAAGTGGATAAATACAAAGACATCCACACCCAACACATCATAACAAACAGTTGAAAGTCAAAAGAGAAGAGAAAAATGACTTGTGTAGGAAAGCAATGATGCAATTAACAGCTGACTTTTCACATAAAATAATGGGGGGCAGAAGGCAGTGAAATGATACATACAAAATACTAAAAAGCTATTTTCCAAGAATTCTATTATCTGCCACATTTTTCTTTAAAAATGAAGGTAAGGGCCTCCCCTGGTGGCGCAGCGATTGAGCGCTGGGCTGCGAGGCTGCCCACAGCCTCTGCAGCGCCGGTTCATTCCCCGGCCTGCTGGCGAGGGTCCCACCAAAAAAAAAAAAAAGAAGAAGAAGGTAAAATAAAGATACTGCCACATACACAGACTAAAAGAATTCATGCTAAAATCCAGCAAATATATTATAAAATGAATGAAACTAGGTATACTAGACTCTGTGTGTATAGTTACCTTGATATAAAACTTCAACAACAGATCTACAAAATTAGAAGTTAGGATTTACCCTTGGAGGGTGGCAGTGACTAGCAGAGTAACAGGAGCCAGAGGAGAAATTTTGGAATATTGATTACACTGTTGTCTTTATTGGAGATTCTGGCACTTTATGTATGCATAATTTCTTGTAATAAAAGCTTACCAAAAAAATATAAATAAGCCTGATGCTGTTACTCCGTGGCTTCTGGAACCCTTTTGCTTTCCCATCACTTCACTTACCTTCCAGGTCTGATTAGACTTGTGACCTCCAAGTTCCTATCTGGTTTGGCTTCTGCCCACCTGTCTAGAATCATTTCTTTTATTTTTCCTGGCATCATTTCTCACCATTTGGTAATCTCACTCCCCGGCCTTGTGTTGTTCCTCAAGTATGATACATCCTTCCATTATACCACAGGACCTTTGCATATGCTTGTCCCTATGGTCCAAAGCCCTGCTGGAGCTTAATAACCCTTGAGCTCCAAGCTTAAGTATGACCCACCCATGACCTCATCCAAATTCTTCTGTTCTGTCTAGCTCATGGAATTATACTGCTTTCCTCCAGAGTGCATGTATTCATTTGTCATTATGGATTCACAGAATAATTATTGGACTGCTCTCACCTTTGCCTCTAACTCACATGTTTTAGAAAGTCTAACTATGTCTTTATCCTGCATTATGTCCTTAGCACTATGCCTGGCACACAGTAGGTGTATGATAACTATCTATTCAATTAATTAAAAGTAATTGAGCCTATAAAAAGGCTTCATTCTCATTAGAGTACAGTACGGAAAACTTGGATGCCCAACTAAGGAATTTAAATGTTCTATAAGCTCTAGGGAACCGTTGACGGTTTTTGGAAAGGGGAGATACATGAGCTGGTTTAGACAGACCTCCATGGGGGTAGAGGTTGGAGCAGCGTCCAGGGAACCAGCGGTGCCTGAGGAGGGGCGGTGGTCCCATGGGGAAGCCAATGTCCCACTTGACTCTGACCCATAGGGAGGCCAGCCTGGCAGTGACCTCACAATCACCCTGTCGGCCTGCCAGCCCCTGCAGCCAGTATCCCAGCTGCTGGGCTAACTCTGGCCTGCACTTTCCCATCTACAGGGTGCACCTACTGTCAGAGCCAACCAGTCAGCAAGCAGAGACAAAGTCTCTGTCAAATGACTCTGTCACCGCCAAGGTCCCCCCCGGAGTTCTGGATACCCCCGAAGCCAGAGGACAAAAAGATGCCGACAGAGAGGAAGTCGACGTGGCGGACGGCCGAGGAGCGGCGCCTGTCTGACCTCACCCGGGTGCTGGAATGGCTGGAGCGGAGGAGGAAGAAGAAGATAACAATCCAGGTGTGTGCTGTCAAAGCAAACTTTCATGGAAGGCTTGGAGACAATCGCTATTGGGAGAGATCAAACTTGACTCCCGAGAAACAAAAGGCAGGAGGGTTTTAAGCGTGAGGTCTTGGAAGACAGCAGTGGGGATCTGGTGGCAAGCCAGGTCATCTGTGTTTGCTAAATAGCACTAAGCCCACTTAGGGTCCTACCCGCTTGCAGAGGCTGGGGGATAGAGTACTACCTTTATCGATTACATTTCAAAGGGATAGAAACAGGCACAGCAGAAAAACACTCCACTTTGTAAAATGGAGGCTAAGATTTATATCTCAAAGGGCAGAGAAAGAAGTTACAAGGTCTAGTTCCCTGAAGGAAACATTCTTAGAAAACAGAGGTCACAGGCTTAGGGCAGGAGGATCTTGTCTAATCAAAGCAAGACCTTCCCAATCAGGGCAGCAGCTTCTGGGGCCTTGATGTTGGCAGCAGAGCAGCCTTCCCCGTTGCCTGCCACTTCCTCCCCATGAGGGCACCAAGGTCAAAGGGCACTCAGTCTCCACTGCCACTGCCCCCTTTTTTAAAAAAGATTTATTTATGTATACAAGAACTGGGGTATAGGCCAGAGGTGCGTGGGGTGATAGGATTCACCAGAGACAGAGTAGGGAACAGAACAGGCAGACTGACCGAAACACACTGCTGAGGGGAGCAGCAGGCAAGGCAGCAGAGGTCTGCGGCTCCATGGGGGTAGCTCCCTGGCCGCCTGGGGATCAAACACGTGCCTCAGTGGCTGCCAAAATCTTCATAGTGCTGCGTCTTAACCCCTTGTGCCAACAGGGAGGCCATGGATGTGGACTACGTCTAATCTAGCTGTCTCAGTCAGTTTGGGCTTCTTTAAAAGAACGTCACTGAATGGCTTATAAAAGCAAGACCCTCTCATAGTTGAACATTTCTCATAGTTCTGGGGGCTGGAAGTCTGAGCCTAAGGAGCTGGCGGATGTGATGTGTGAGGGACCGGTTTCCCAGTCTCCTTGCTGTGCCCTTGCATGGCCACGCAGGCAGGAGAACACGTTACAGCCTGTGTTACAAGGATGCCAATCCCATGCTGGAGGGCTCACCCTCATGTCCTACTCACCTCCCAAAGGCCCCATACTGTCATTTGGGGAATTGGATTATGAACTTGCAGGCACAGGGACACAGCGTTCAGTCTGTAGGACCACACTTCCCTCTTCCTTCAGAACTACAGCAACCAGTTTTACCTCAGTTTCCCCAGAGCTCTCCCCCCAGCCCATCATCTGGAAAAATCAAGCCATGTCCTTGGAAAGTGGTCTTCTCTGTAAAGGATGCCACCTGACCCTGATCCCCAGAGAAAAAGAGGTGAAAGGTGGTGTTACTGCTGGTGATGCTATTTTTAGTGATTCCTGCATGCCAGCGTGTTGCCTCACGGTGCAAGTGTTAGTAGCAGCCTGGGATGAGGGAGAGATCACTCAAGTCCATGCGAAGCAATGAGGAGTCTAGGGGGGCTACACATGGTGTAATGTGCAGCCCCCCTGCAATGGCACCTCGTATTTAGTTAGAATCAAGGTCAGAGGTGGGACAAGTATATAAGGCGTGTCCATGCGTGGGGATGCAGTTAGTGGGGTGCAAGTAGGGGTATTGCCTGGGGAGCTCCTTTGTCCCCGCTGGTCAAAGCCTATGATTTCTGTTCTAACCTGTGCCTGCTGTTTCAGCAGATGCTGGTCCCCCAGTGTGTTCCTCGTACCAGGACCTTTGCCCTTGGTGAGCGGCCCCTGCCTGACCCTACACCCAGCTGACGAGCAGGAGCTCTGGGCACCAAGACAATATCCCTGAGAACAAGGGGGCTGGAGATTCCACTCCAGGGCCCAAGCTAAGTGTTACGAGAGCTGTTGCCAGAAGGGCCAGGCCCGCCTGCTTACCTCCCAGCACAGGGTCAGGAAGGCAAAGCGTACCCAGCACACAGGGTTAGTTAGGAGCCCAGCCAGGCATGGAGCTCTGTGCCTGGGATTAGTGCCTCCTCACCCTGAGTGCTCCCGTGTCTCACCCGCCCAATGGGCCCTGCTTGCCAGGGCCACTCATCTGACACACACATCACACACTAAGGTACAAAGATTTATATGTAGCTTACTCCCTGACCCCCACTTTTTGGAGGGGCTAGAGGTTTAACAGCTGGGTGGCTCAGAACTCTATCACAGAAATCATATTCACGTCTGTGATTAATATGTTTGGTCTCTTATTTGCTCACTAAGAGTCCATCCCAACATGTTTTCACGGCTTTATCTTAGATAGGGCTTTTTCATAAACAATTTGGGAGCCAGGGTGGAAAAACACATTTAAATTGAAACACAATTACACCCTCAAGCATTGTTACCCTTCCAAGGAGCATCTGGGCTTTAGGGGAAGCCTGAGATGCATGCATACTGCCTCAGGGCAGGGCAGGCTGGGGCAGCACGAGGGTGAGGGATGGCTGGGCCAGCCCCTCTCTCTGGTCCTGGCACTGCAGCCTCCCACCCACCGCGGCACGGTCTTGGCAGCACCCAGGTGCTGTACACTTGGAGACTATTTGTCAAGGAAGACCCCCGAGGTCCATGGTCTCTGTCATCAAGCCGGTGATTCAGTGGCTATTGCAGCACCTTTGGGTCTGTGGCCTCACCACAGCAGTTTCACTCAGCTGCCCCAAAATTGGGGGTGGGGAACTACTCAGATGATTCTAGTGAGGGTTAGGGGAAGGTGGGAGCAGGACAATCCCTAGCCTTAGTTTCTCTTCCTGAAAATTCAGTCCTGGTTCCAAGTTGCTCCCCCTTCCCCCACTAAGCCAAACAAATCTCCAAAGTTGACCAGTACCCCATCTTTAAGCATTAAGCAGGCTCTTGCACAGCTTCCTTCCACACACCTGAGAAAACTCCACTGGGGCAAGAAATGTCCCTGGGATGACACAAGGCCACAACAGAAAGCCTGCCTATAAACTTTGGAATGTTAGTTTGGTGCCCAAACCTCAGCTGTCAATGTTCCCCAGTTTTAGAAATTCGATTTTTGTTTTTAGATTTTTTATTTATCCATGCATACAAGAGCTGGGGGTGTAGGTCCGAGGTGCGGAGAGGGTGAGAGGATTCACCAGAGACAGAGCGGGGAACAGAACAGGCAGACTGACCAAAACACACTGCTGAGGGGAGCAGTGGGCGAGGCAGGAGAGGTCTGCTGCGCCATGTGGGTAGCTCCCTGGCCGACTGGGGATCGAACTCGTGCTGCAGTGGCTGGCGATAGCTTGATAGCCCTGTCTTTAAGCCCTGAGCCACCAAGGAGGCCCCTAGAAATTTGATTTTTGAAAGAACTTGGTTGAAAACTAATGTGCACCTAAATTGTACAATTGTATGTTTTTCTACTTTTTCACTTTGTATATAATAATTTTAGATGTTGCTTATAGACATGACAGTGGGGGGTTCACCCAACTGATCACCATAGAAATGGGGACAAGAATTAGAAGTGGGAAAATTGTTAGAGTAGCCCTGGGGCTCCTGGTTCTCTGAAGGTGGCAGCAGCTCCCAGCTGAGCAGCATTAGCTGGGCTTGATGGCTGACCACAGCATGGCCAGATTTGGGCTTAACAAAAAAGAAAAAAAAATCATTCTGGAGATGCTGGGGTCAGGTTTAAGGCTAGACAAAGCTATTCAGATGCCGCAGAGCTGGCTACTAGGCCCAGTGCGAAAAAACACAGAGTAGGTTTGATGCACTACCAAGATTTTTATTTTATTTTATTTTAAAGATTTATTTATTTATTTATACAAGCACTAGGTACAGTCAGAAGTGCGGGAGGGGGGCCTCCCCGGTGGCGCAGTGGTTGAGCGCTGGGTTGTGAAACTGCCCGCAGCCTCTGCAGCGCCGGTTCGATCCCCGGCTGCTCCCCGGCCACCAGAGGAGGGTCCCACATGGCGCGCAGACCTCTCCTGCCGCCCGCTGCTCCCCTCAGCAGTGTGCTTTGGTCCTTCTGCCTGCTCTGCTCCCCGCTCTGGCTCTGGTGAATTCTCTCACCCTCCCGCGCTTCTGACTGTACCAGTGCTTGTATAAATAAATAAATATATCTTCAAAAACAAAAAAGAAGTGCAGGAGGGTGAGAGAATTCACCAGAGCCAGAGCAGGGATGAAATACACTGCTGAGGGGAGCGGCGGGCACAGCAGGAGAGGTCTGTGTGCCATGTGGGACCCTCGCTGGCGGGCAGGGATCGAACTGGCGCTGCAGAGGCTGCGGGCATCTTTGCAGCCCAGTGCTCAACCACTGCGCCACTGGGGAGGACCAGGATTTTGATTTTAAATCACAAGCTGGTTTTGAAAATGGGCCAACCAGGTCCGAGCTCCCACTGGCACCCGTCAAGTTCAAGCCTGCACCAGCAACAATCAAGTTTTAGAAGAAACTGGTTTGTAAAATGGACCCCTCAGGTTGGAGGGCAGGTAATCCAAAGGCGGATATAAGCAGAAGCTTGACTCAGTTTGGAAGAGGCTTCAGAGGCTTTGGGAGACTTGGTTTCAAGAGGGACTCGGCTTCAGGAGAGATTCATCCAGACTCTCTTCTGACTTCAAGGCAGACCCTCACAGATCTTCAGGACCCTTGCTTCAGTTTCATTCATCAGACATGCTGCTGGCCTGTGCCAGCGTCTCTGAAGAGCAGTAGCACTGGTGCCTCTGGCAACACCCCTGAGAGCTGTCCAGTCCAGTGTCTGGGCCTGCCCAGCCCAGCCCTCCATTTGCTGTGGTGCTGCAGAGCCACCTGTGCCTACCACAGCTGCCACAGAAAAGTTGGATCCTGGTCCACCACTGGGACCTGTCCCAGGTGTGCCAGCTGGTGTGCCACCAGTTCCAGGCTCCCGTCAGAGGGATGCTGTCTCGCATGTGCGGCTTTTGGTTTGACTACTGGACACTGTGGATACTCTCTGGTGTAGGACAGCCAGCCGTTAGTGGCGTTGGAAAGATTTTTTCTTTTTTCCAATTACCCCTTTGTAAATAAACCATGATGCTGCGCCCTGAGCTTGCATGGTGTCTTGCAATTGTGAGCCCAGAAGTGAGAACCCACAAACTGTGAGTTTTTCTGGTTTCAGTTTCATCTCCAGATAAGGACCTCAAAGAAGTGGTGACTCGTCCTAGGTTGTCCAGTCACTAAAAATAGAGCCAGATTCCAGGCAGGCAGTTTGACCTCGCACCCAAGCTTAACCACCAACGCCTCACAAATCCAAACACCCACCCAGAGGGGATGCAGAGGCTTCAGCTTCCACCACCCCCACCAGGTGGAGACTAGCTGGGTGTGATTCTGTGGGCTCCTCCCCTGCTGGCCCCTGGGGTCCTTGATGAACCTCCCTTCCAGCCCCTTGGAGCAGGAGCCAGGATGTACATAAGGGACCACCCTCAAGGTGCACCCGTAGGGAAAGGTGGGTGAATTGTAGTGAAGGACAGGATGGGCTGGGGGTGGCAAACAGTGACGGGACTTTGGAGGCAGAGGCTGGCAGGGCTAGAAGATGCTTTTGACCCAGCTGGAGGCTGTGACAAGGAAGCTGCAGGTAAAAGGCCATTTGGGGGTCAGAAGGGATTCCTAAGGTTGGGGAGTGGCACCCTCATGCAGTGATGGTCTCTGAGGTGGAGAGGAACAACCCACCTCTGCAGATCTCCTGGGATCTCGGAGGTCAGTTTGGGGTCACTGTGGCATGGACATCAGGGTGTGCCTGGAGGACAGCTGGATGGGGGCCAGGAGGGCCAGAGTAGAGGCTGAAAGTTGGGTGGAGGGGCTAGGCAGCGCACTCACCAGGGAGCCCCATCGAGGACGAGATGGCATATGCCCGCAGGTGACCACAGTACTCTCCTATCTCCTTCCAGAAGCCCAAGATTAAGGACGTGGTCCTCGCTAATGCAAAAGTGAAGGAAGACATGAAGAACAAGGCCCTGAAACAGCAGGAACAGAACCACAAGGTGCCAATCCCTGAGCAAGGGACACAGCCTCTGTCGACCCCCAACGCCTACTAATCTCTCCACGTCGAGGAGGGGAACCAGCTGGCTCCCGCCGCGTCTGGCCACAATGACCGCCGTTGTTGTGGTCACCAGCTCTCAAGCCCACGCGCTCTCCACACTAGCACCCAAATGAGCCACCCACCCACCCCCCATCATCCCCCAGATCCCACACCACACGCTGCCCCCCGGCCGTGAGGAGACTGACCCCACCGTAGAGCATCATTCTCTCCAGGGGCCACGTCCTCCACTCCCTTCCCCAGACCATTCGGGAACGCCATTTGGAAGATGAGACCACCCAGACCTGACTCTCCAGGCCTGTGGCTTCCTTGGCTCCACCTGACCTCTGATTTATGGGGGGTCCACAGTGATGAGCTGGTGAGCAGACACCCACATGCCATCCTGCCCAGCCCCCACCTTTCCCAGAGCAGGTCTCTCCATTGGTCCCTCGGCCTGCCTTTCAGCAAAGTCTTGAAATCACTCATTTTGGGGGCAGATGAGGCAAGTCAGATCCTATTCCCCAGGGAGTAACATCTCTTGTGTTCCCCTCCAAGGTCTCAGGGAAAAAGGCCAAGGAGGAGAATGCTGTCCAGTACCGAAAGCTCTATGGGATGGACATAAAGGGGAAACGCCTCAGCATTGTCCCCAGCAACTACAACAAGGAGTTTCCCAAGAAATCAGGTAAGGGGTGGAGGGGGTGCCTTGGCCAGGATGCGAGAAGTGGCCTTCATAATCGTCCCCCTCCCAAAAGGACCAAGAGTTGGCGTTGTTCTTTGAACAGCCATGTCCACATCAACCCTCCCACTGTGGCCCTGTGAATGGTGGAGCTCCATGAGGCTCCTTAGGACCTCACCTGTGAGTAGGTCATGACCTGAACCTCCATCCACACCTGGGTGCTCTCTTCCCAGGAAGCCAGCAAGGGTACCCCAGATTCCCAAAGCCATTGGTGACATCCATGTCTCCAGCTGTAAATGATCTAATTAGTTTAGATACTGTGACAGTGTTGGCATGACACAGAAGGTGCCACATCTCCTGGCCCAGTTCCCAAGACTCAGACTGCCTGGGTTCGAATCCTGGCTCCCCTCACAGTTGTACAACCCTGAGCAAACCACTCCATCTCTGGGGTTCGGTTTCCATGTCTACAAAATGGGACAATCACAAGAGCTGCCTCTCAGTGTCTCAGTGTATATACATGGCTTTAGGGACAAGGTTAGTGAAGTAACTTGATACAGAGTATGGTTTTTTCTTAAAAAAAAATTCTCAAGCAGAATAAAATAGACACATTGATCATACCCAGCCTCTTGGGATGGAGTTTTATGGAAAAAGAAACTTCTGTAAGGGATTCCAATTAGCCAAAAGGAAAAGTGGGCAAGAAACTTAGAGCAAGGGCTGCCAGTTCTTCTGTACAAAATTGCCCCTATTATACCCAAGAAAATATCCTTTATTTTCTTTTCACTTGCCCCAAAGCCAGTATAAATAACCAACTGCAGTCACCTGCCTACAAGCCTTAAATATGATTGACTCTCAATGTGTGCAGGATCCTGGGCTGAGCCCTGGAACAGGATGAAAACTGGTGAAACCCCCAAAAGCTCTGTACTGTACCTTGCTGATACAAGATGTTAACATGCGGAGAAGCTGAGTGAAGGGGAGACAGGAACTTTCTGTGCTTTCTTTGTAACATTTTTGTAACTCTAAGGTTACTGCAAAATAAAACATTAACTAAAAATGCCTGCCCCACACAAAGCCCCACACCTTCCTTCGCCTGGTGTGTGTGACCCCCAACTGTCACATCTGGCCTTGGAGCCCTGGCTTTGCTGGACTCCCAGTATGTGGGTCTCGAGCCCAGTGGCGGCTCCTTCCTCCCAGCCAGCCCAGACATGGAATGCCTTTCCGCCATTTCTGCACTTTCATGAACCTGAGAGTGAGCCCCTCCTTAGACCGTGTCCCTGGTCACTCACTCACCTCCCTTTAGTCCTGTCCTGCTCAGCTCTTCCTCTTTCCTCTTCTCCACCCCACATATTCCCATTGAGGAGACTTTGTTTCCTTTATTTCATGGCCTTGATAGTGTAATAAAAGCAGTTTCTTCCCTAAGAGAAGGGATGCCAGCAGGATGACTTACCAGCTCTGTGGGCCTCTGCAGCAATCCCTCAGTCTGCAGGCCTCTCTCTAGGTGTAGTACAACCAATGGCCACTTGGGGGCAGCAGGCGCTCAGTGCAGCCCAAGTGCAGGAACTGCTCGGAGGCACCCAGGAACCACAAGGATATCCAGATGTGGCACCCCGTACTGAGTCAGGGCTGAGCCTGGGCACAGTAAGCGGACCTCCCTGTGCAATCTGGCAAGGAGCCTGAAAAAATGAGACGACAGGAGATTCCAATGAGAATTTGGAAGCCAAGATTAAGACAAAGCAGTCCCTAGGAAGGGCATAGAATCACCTAAGACCTAGGGCAGAAATTCAAGAGGAGATAAGTGTGGCTCAAGGAAGAATATTCTAGATAGAGACAAATGGTTCTAGCCTTCCCCGAACCCACTAGTACCCACGCATGTCCTTGTCAAGAACCAGACCCCCACAACCCCTCAGGGACCTCTTTGCAGGGTGAGCCCTTTCCTTCTTAAATGCCAGTGGGTCAGCCACTAACTCCTTACAAGACCTTGGGTACATCACAGCCTTCCTCCAACTGCTGTCCCTCCATTTATATAGTTGTAAGAGGTCTTGATTAATTCTCCTTAGACATATCCTGGTAAAATCCCTGCAATTTATTGATGAAATCCTGAAAGCTTACAGGGAAAATGATTGGTGTTCTTAAAACAGCCTTACAAAGGAAGTGAATTAGATTAGCATCAATCTGGAAGTGAAATCACACCTACTGACTATTGAGTAAAGAGCTACAGTGCCAGAGCCCTATGCTCAGCCCCCACATAGGTTACTTGGGGTGAATAAATATATTTGCGGATTTAAAATATTTAGGACTTTCTCAGCCATGTATCCCTTCACCTGCAGAAATGCTCCAGGAGAGAGAGAGCAGAGGCACCAAATTAGGAAGTAATTGGGTTAAAATAAAAATAAATTGGCTTAATACCAGGTAAAATAGAAAGGCTGAAAATAAAAGAATAGACAAAGAGTTAACAGGAAATGCAAACATACAAGATGTAATTAAGACTAAAAGAAACACATGGGATAAATGAGGTGTTTTATTATTGTTAAAAAGAATAATAATTATAGACCTATATGCACAAAAAAGTATAGTAGCTAAATAGATACATATTTAGAAATGCAAGGAGACCCTGGTAACACAATTATCAGAGAAGATTCTTTCAGAATCAACTAGCCAGTATCTGGAGTACACAGAAGACTCTAACAATGCAATTAACAAAGCGTAACTTCATATTTGAATAATGAACACACATTTTTATATGACCATAAACATAAATATTCAAACATAAATAAAATTAAAATTAAAAGATACCCCCATAGAAGAGTTGGAAATTAAGAAACCCAGCCCCAAAACACCTTAACAGAAAAAAACTAATGAAAATAACCCCATAGGTTCATACCAGAAAAATATATGCTCAGATGAAAATTTGCAGTAAAAAATAATGGCATTGTCTTTGTAACAGAAAAAAAATTTTAAAAAACTAATACCTTTATTTATTTAGTAAGAATAAAATAAATAATTAACATGAAAGAGAGAATTAATGCACTAAATACAAGCTCATATTTATGAAATGCAAGACAAAAATTGGTAATAAGAATAATTTCAGGGCCTCCCTGGTGACGCAGTGGTTGAGCGCTGGGTTGCGAAGAGCTGCCCGCGGCCTATCCCGCGCCGATTCAATCCCCGGCTGCTCCCCGGCCATTGGAGGAGGGTCCCACATGGCGCACAGACCTCTCCTGCCGCCCGCTGCTCCCCTCAGCAGTGTACTTTGGTCCTTCTGCCTGCTCTGCTCCCTGCTCTGGCTCTGGTGAATTCTCTCACCCTCCCGCGCTTCTGACTGTACCCAGTGCATGTATAAACAAAACAAACAAACAAACAAACAAATAAATAAATAAAACATGCCTCTATTAAAAAAAAAAAAAAGAATAATTTCAAAGCCAGCTATTTGGAAAAGCAAGTGAAAAACAATATGAACTTATCACAAGTCTTATTAAGAAGAGTAAAAATGTACAAGATTTTGTATGACAATTGATACATAAGCAAATATAAAATACATTAAATGAATTGTCATCGAATACTTATATGCACAAGATATATGAAAACCTAGCAGAAATGGATAATTTCCTATTGTCCGCTAAATTATCAAAATTGACATAAGAGCAGAAAACTTGAATAGAGCAGTTTCTGAAGCAAAAACTGAAAGATGATGGACACTTTCCTACTGAAAATGTAGCCAGGACAAAAGGGTTCATCTAACCTTTAAAGAACAAATAATCCCAGTGTTACTTCAACGACTGTAGAACATATAAAAAACAGACATTTCTGCGTGGATTTAACGAGTCATCCTGGCCTCAATATTAGACAAATGTAGGCCAATCACAACAATATAAATCTAAAAAAATTTAGCAAAAGTGTTCAAGATATGAAATAAACAGCAGACCCCAGTCCAATGATCAAGTGGACTTAATTTTAGCAAGTGAAGAATAATTAGGTCAGGGGCCTCCAGGTGGTCTAAGGGTTAAGTCTCAGCAATATCACTTCTAGGGCCTGAGTTCGATCCCGAGCCAGGGAGCTGACCCACATGGCACAGCAGACTTCACCTGACTCGCCTGCTGCTCCCGTCAGCAGTGTAGAAGATCTGCCTGTTCTGTTCGCAACTCTGTCTCTGATGAATCCTCTCACCCCCTGCACCCCTGGCCTATACCCCAGTTCTTATATGCATAAATAAATTTAAAAATTAAAGTTTAATTAATAAAAAGAAGAATAATTAGGTCATCAATATCAGGATATTTATTATCAATAACTTCTTGGAAGATGTCGCCAGACAGTTAGATACTGGTTGAGGGGGTGGGTAGGAGGACTGTAAAAATGAAAAGCCACGTGATCCTATCAGTAGGTGATAAACAGTCATTACTAATAAAAAAAAAAAAAAAACTTGTAAGCTAAAAGTAAAACTGCTAAGATATTACATCTCATAAAACACAAACTGAATATCATTCTAAATGACAACAAGCTAAAATCATTTTCATTACAATCAGGAACAAAATGAGGCAAGACTGCTATTATCATTGACTGTGTTTTGAAAAGTCTCTCTAATGTAATATGTCAAGAAGAGTAAATCATTTGTATAAATATTGAAAGGCAGATATTTTCATTTTTTCCCCTGAGATTATTTCATAGCTACAAAAATTCTAGTCAGAAATGGGTAAAATTTGGCATGTGATTGTTGCTGTACTCGAAAAAAAATTCTAAAACAATTATCTTTTGTCTGTATTAGTCAGCCCAGTTAGAAGTAAAAATCTGTTAAATACTTAAAAGCAAATTTGACATGAAGAAAAAAATTGAGGTACCAAACCCTAATGGCATAGCAGTCATTACAAAGTCAGAATTGGGGTAACATCAGCTGTCATCCATGCTGCGGACTTGTCCCTGCTGTTCCTCTTGCCTGCAATGCTTTTCCCTCTTTTTAACCTGATAAACCATTTGTTCTTTAGAGCCCAGCTCAACATTGCTCCTTTCTTTTTTTTTTTTTTTTTAAAGATTTATTTATTTATTTATTTATTCAAGCACTGGGTACTGTCAGAAGCACGGAGGGTGAGAGAATTCACCAGCTCCAGAGCGGGGAACAGAACAGGCAGACTGACGAAATATACTGCTGAGGGAGCAGCGGGCAGCAGGAGAGGTCTGCGCGCCATGTGGGACCCTCACCTGTGGCTGGGGATCAAACCGGCCCACAGAGGCTTCGGGCATCTTCGCAACCCAGTGTTCAACCACTGCGCCACCAGGGGAGGCCCAACATGCTCTCTTCTGATGCTTTCCCTCACCTCCAGGCTGAAGTTCCCCTCTGGGGAGGGAGAGGAGAAAAGGTTGAGGAAAGAGGGTAAAGGGAAGGAGACGTGGGAGCTGAGAGGGCTCCAGGTGGATCTCCATGGGGGATCCCAGCCAGGACCTTGGGGACCTGGAGGGATGGGTGAAGCCCATGCAGCCTCTCAGCATTCACCCCTTCCTGCCTGCCCCTCTCCCACTCTGCAGCGTCTAACTCCCTGGTGATGTCTGTCCAATTTCAGAGGTAGACGTGAAGGACGCCAACCCCCTTGAGTTCGCCCAGCGGTCCATGCGCCGACAGAGCATCGTGGAGCCCATGTTACAGGATGCTATCTTTGGCTCCCGGAAGTCAACGCTCCTGAGGGACTGGACAAGCAAGAGCACCGAAGCCAGTTATGAGCGCAAGCTAAAGAGCCTCATGGACAAGAGCGCAGATCCCAAGATAGAAGTGGTGAAAATGCTGAAGCCAGAGGAGGTGCTGAGCTGCCGGTGAGCAGACCCCCAGAGTGAGCAGACCCCAGGGTGAGCAGACCCCCAGAGTGAGCAGACCCCAGGGTGAGCAGGCCCCAAGGGTAGGCAGACCCCCAGGGTGGGCAGACCCCCAGGGTGGGCAGACCCCAGGATGAGCAGACCCCCAAGGTGGGCAGACCCCCAGGGTAATCAGACCCCCAGAGTGAGCAGACCCCCAGGGTGAGTCGACCCAGGGTGAGCAGACTCCCAGACCCCAGGATGAGCAGACCCCCAAGGTGAACAGACCCCCAGGGTAATCAGACCCCCAGGGTGAGCAGACCCCCAGGTGGGCAGGCCCCTGAGGCTGAGACGGGCTGTTCTGAAGAACAGGCTTCGGTCACTATGGCCTCGGGCTCAGACATGGGTGTCCGGAGATCTGGGTGGGGGCCTCCCTGGCTGAGCCATGTCTGAGTCCCAAGGCTGTTGAAGGGCTGAGGCCTTGGGTTTCCCTACAGCTGGCCCGTGGCTGGTCTCCCGGATGGACACAGGTACACCAGCCTGGTCACAGCCCGTCCGCTATGCCCATCATCTCTCGCACAATAGAAACTGTGGACACTATTCAAAAAGGAAGACCCAGTTGTGTGTGGCCTTGTTTTAACAGGAAAATCTCCTAAGATCCTCTCACACTTTACAGCGATGTGGAATTGCTGGGGAGCGCAGTCACCCTCCTGGGGGCCGCCAGCTGCACATTTGGGGTTTTGGACTCCCGTAGGGACCAAGTGTGAACACATCTTTTCACAGCTTTCCCTTCTCGCTTGTTCTTTGTCTACCTGATGGGGACCCGCTGGTTTTCGGCAACACCAAACAGCTGGGGCTCCACCTAAAATCCAAGTAGCCCCCAAAACCAGTGTGAGCATTTACCATTAAGATGCAACTGACGAGGCTCAGAAACCTCAGCCGAGGAAAAGCAGACAGAAGGACGCTGCGGTCAGCCTCGGGGGGGTGAGGGCGGTGAACTCATCTGGTGGTTAAAGACAAAGATGGCCTCCGAGGCCTGGCGGCAGGGCCCATACAAAGCCCCGCCCTCTGGCTGCCTGGTGGAGGGGGGCTGGAGGGAACAGCTGTCTCCGAGATGCACGGGCAGACCCCCCCAGAGAAGGAAGCTTCTTGTCTGCGAGCTCGGGTTTTCCGATGGGTTGTGTGGCCCTAGTGGACCCTGGCAACAGACAACCCATTCGGGCTCCAAGGAAAGAGATTTGGGCAGGGCACTGCCCTCCCTGGAAGGGGAGAATATTTGGAGAGATGGCATCTTAGACGCCATTATTTCCAGGGAAAGGATGAACTTGTCTGGCCTGGGGGCCTAGTGAGTGGCCGCAGCACACGTGTGCGAGGCTCCACAGGTCTGGTCGGGGGCCAAGGGTGCACTGGGGCTGTCACAGCTCACCTAGGTGTCGGGACAGGTGAGCTGGCTGTAAGGGCAGGTAAACTGGACAGGTGTCAAAGGAGAAGGAAGTCATACTCAGTGGCAAGAAATTCTTAAGCCAAGTTCCAACAACACGCAGCAGCCCGAGTCAGAGGCCTGGCAGCTTGCCCAGCGCCGGGGGCCAGGTCAGCTTGGTGACGGTCTAAGGAGCACTGAGGATGTGGCGGCAGACACACGCCAGGCCACGCCGTGCAGGTGGCATCAGCTTCACCCCTTCGTGTCAGTCTTCAGAATTGTGGGGCTTGAGCCAATATTGCAACTCAAAGGCCTCGTGTTGTACCTGAAACTTATTAACAGAAGACACCTCTGTTCCCATGACCTTGCTCAGCCCTATGCCCAGGCCCACGCCCCCAGCGGGAGGACAGACCAGGTGGGACACCTGGCACCAAGTCACCCCCATGGCCTCTCCTTCTTCCCAAGGCTATTTCAACGTTAGCAGCAGAGTCCTTGAAATGGGGGTTCACTTAGCCTTTCCTCTGCTAAGTGGAAGGAACCCCAATATGAAGACTGGTGTTTATACAGTTTTCCTTTCTGTGTCTGTTCTTGAGCTCAGTGGAGCGCGTGAGCAGAGCTACTGAGTCAAAGACAATATAGGATTTTTTGGAGTGGGGACCAGCGACGGGCCGACAGTTGGGGGGCTTGTACAGGAGTGGTTCTTGGCACGTGTATTACCAGGTCGCTTTCCAAGATTTATGGGAAAAAGTCCCACCCCCACTGTGGGCTGTCCACTCTTGCAAGATGGCCCTCCGAAGTGCCAGAGCCAGTCCTGAGCAGCCCTGCACTGCCTGCTGGAGCCTGCGCCTCCCAGGGGAACTGGAAGCTGCAGCAACCGCACCCCTCACCTGGGCCTTGTCTCGCAGGTACCTGAGGCTGTCCAAGAACAACATCCGGACCCTGATAAAGCTGTGCAAGGACGCGGGCATGGACGTGGACATCCACCCCCACATGGTGGAAAGCGAGATTGATGCCAAGAAGGTGTTTGGCCATAGCCCCAGCGTGCCCCCTAGATAGCGCCCCCACCCCGGCCATCCTCAGGCCCCCGGCCCTGTGCCAGGCTCCCCGCCCCAGATGCCACCCCCTGGCCCTTCAGATCTGGTGCATCCCTCTTAGTAAGTAGTGCTCAGAAAACAAGCTTAGATTCCAGGGCACATGGTGCTGGTGTGATGTTTACCCTGGGCCCCGAGTCAGAACCGACTTGGAGAAATGAGGGTTTTTTCCCCACCGAAAGATAGTCCTTAGAAAAGCTTTTCCAGAAAGGAAGGCTTAGAAAAAGTGAAAAGATGGAGGCCCAGTGTCCCCAGAGGGAGCTCAGGAGAGGCAGAAGGCTGGTGGCAGAGGACACAGCAGCCCACCTGCCCCCTGTGGGAGAGGGAGTGGCAGGATCGCCATGGAAACAAGGATGCCACAGGGGGTGCCTTGCTCAGAGTCCCACAAAAGACAAGGAGAGGACAAAGCAAGGGCAAGATGGTGTCCAGGCCTCAGTCTCCAACTCAGCATTCTTTGATGATGGAGACTCCAGCAAATCCCACAGGACTATCCAGAGCCTGCCCCCCCCCACCCCCCACCCCTCCACCCCCGTCCTGGAGCCTCTGTCCGTTGAGGTGACAAGCCTAGGCCCTTCTAGCTCCTAGAAGCATTTCCAGTAAGTTTCAGCCCCAACTACCCCACTTACTGTGTGACTTTCAGCAAGTTACTTTACCTCTCTGCGCTTCATTTTTGCATCTGTAAAATGGGGCCAATAATAGGATCTGCTGAGCAGGGATGCTGAGAAGAGGAACAAAGAGGTTGCATGTGACACACGAAGCACAGATGTTGGTGCAAAGAGCTCAAAAATTTGTGAGCTGTTCTCATCACCTCTGGGGTGTGACACCTCAGCCCCAGCTTTCTGGGGGCCCTCCAAACTGGGCGTGTCATAGTTGCAGCAGCCCCTGTTTAAAAGCTGCTGATTCCAAATTCAGGGACCTCGTGGTAACCCCAAAATCAAGTGGCCCCTGAGCTCCCAAGCCAGTGACAGAATCTAGGCTTCAGGGGGCTTCCAGGAGCACACACTGGAGGATTTGGGCACAGAATTTGGGCTTCCAGGATTTGGGCACACTGGAGAAGGCATGACACTCTGCACCTGTCCTCGCGCCCTGTCCCGTGCGTGTCTCACGTCTTCCATCATGTCCTTAGCACCCTTTGTAAGGAATCAGCGATCTAGTGAGGGGACGGTTCCCTGAGTTGTGTGAGCCCCTCCAGTCAATTCTGGAACCTGGAGAGGAATTGACAGGAGCCTCTGACTTACTGTTTGTAGGTCAGAAGTACAGATGCTAATCTGGGGCTTGTCGCTGGCACCCGAGGGCTGAAGGGGGGTTCATGGGAACCTGCCATCTGCAGCAGTTGGTCAGAAGCCCCCCTGGGGCTCACAGCTGGCGTCTGACATGGAGGGTGGTCTCAGGAGACTGAGTTTCACCTGGGGAACAGCTGCCACCTCTGGGTAGACGGTGCCAAAACCAAGTGTAGTTCTCGGACACTCTGCTGGTATCAGGGATTGTTTACTGATGTGGGGAGACTCTCCCATCCTCCTGTTGCAAACAGAGCTGCAGGACACCCCAGCTGGGAAGCTTGGTGCTCTTAGAGGACTAGTCCTCTGAATGCTTCATAAATGTCCACACCCCACCTGGAGGCGCCGGTGACACTGGAAGCCAACAGCACTCTCCACCGAGGTATTGCTCTTTGGGGTCAGAGTGAAGTTGTGGAGACTTCCAGACCCCCCTCCCACCCACACTGGCCAGCCAGGGCATGGGCAGCGCCCCTTAGAGGAGAAGGCAGGTCACAGAGAGGTGTCCCCGTGAAGATTACACAGAACCCGCTAGGTCACAGCCAGAGCCCCGAGAACCCACATGCAAATGATTGTGAGGCCCCGGCCCCTCCAGGGTCAACAGCGCCTGGCAGAACCAGCTCCACTAAAAAGGGAAGGAAAAGCATTTCTGAGCACCACTGGCATCGGCAGCTCCGTCCACATCATCTTGAGCCAGTGCCAAGGTCAGACGCTACCAGTAGCCAGAAGGAGCTGCCAAGGCCCTGAACACAGGCAGGAGTAAAGGACTGTGCCCATGTAGGGGCCCCCAGAGGCTCACCTGCACTTCAAGAGAGAGAAGTTAGAGGCTTAGAATAGCATGGTCTGGGTGGAAGCAAAACTTGAGGCTCCATTTTAGAGGAAGAGCTGACAGACCCTGTGGCTGGATGGAACGTAGACTGAAGAAAGGACATCAGGATCACCTTTGAGCCATCCTTGGCCAGAGTGACTGTTGAGGGTGCCTAAAATGGGGGTGGGGAACAAGAGAGAAGACAAGGCCCAGCCCTGGACTACTCATCAGCTTCAGCCCCTTGCCACAAAGTAAAGTAATTTCCACAGGAGGCGCAGCCCCTGCCCCGGTTGAGCTGAGTGTCATACCCACAAGGGATGCTTGGTATCCCAAGCTGTTGGGGGGGACTGCCAGGGTAGGGGCACCTCCCAGACCCCAGAGGCTCCACAGACTGAGAGGGGGAAGAAGAAAGAATGCAGGGGGACCTGGATCCATCCCAGCTGCCAGGGCCAATGGGGTGCTCTCCAGGGGTCCAGAGGGCTTCAGTGTGTGGGCCCCATGGGCACAAGGCGCCTCTGAGCCAGCCTCCTGAGGTCCTGGCCAAATGAGTCCATACTGAGCCCCAAGATTCACAGACAAGCTGAAAGGGGTGCCCCAGCAGAGAGCTCCATCCGCAGCACACTCAATACTAGTATTCCCTAAGTTCCAAAATTACCTTGTCAGCGATCAATTGGGTTGCATCTTGTAAGAGTTATCACCCACTGCAGAAACAGCCGAACATGCAAGGAACAGATTCAGACAGACACAACCCCCTGGTTTATGGCGAAGGTGAGACAGCGGTCCAGCAGGGGCTGTTCTGTTCCATAAATCAGGCTGGTCGATTAAATATCCATGTGGGAAAAGAGCAACCCTCTGCCTCCCGCCATATGCAAAAATCAGTTCCAGATGGGTGCCGACTGTGAGAGCTTCCAAAGGAACTAGAAGACCGTCTCCATGACCTTGGGGTGGGCAAGAAATTTAAAGCGAACACAAAAAGCCCTACTAATAAAAGATTAATAAATTATATTTAGAACTTCTGTTCATCAAAAGGCATCACTAAGAGAGTGACAAGGCAAGAGACCCGAGTAGAAGACGTGTCTGGCGAAGGTATGTATTCTGCTTCGGTATCATTTGCTAAGAATCCATCAGAAATATGTGCAAAGTCCAGCAGAAATAAGTGCAAAAGTCTTGTCTAGGCCTTTGCCAAAAAAAGTTTAGCCAAGTGACCGATGAACCTAAGAAAGGTCCTGATTCTTCAGGAAATGCAGATTAAAATCACAGCACACCTCCGCTGCACCCCAGGTGCTAACACCAATGGTGAGTGGGAATGCGGCGGAACCAGCGTGCTCCACGAGGCTGCTGGGGCGCCCCACGCGCGCACCTCCACCTTGGAAAGCTGCAAACCTCCCCCAACAGAGCTTGCTCCTAGGCTGTCGCCCTGCCTTTCTGTTCCCACCAACGCCACAGCATTGTCTGCTCTGTTCCTGCAAATGACGGTACCAGAGTGTTCACGGCAGCTTTATTCAGCAGAGCCAAGTGCGGGAGTCAGCCCAGCTCCCCGCAGCAGCAGAGAGGGGCGCGCGCAGCGGAGCGCACGGCGGAGCACCGTGTGCAGGCGAGACTGGACGCACGTTCTGGAGGAATGCATTGCGAATATGGGGCAAAAGCAGCTAGACACAGCAGAGAACCCAGTGTTAGAAGTCAGGACAGTGACCGCCCTTGAAGGGGGTGCAATGACTGGATTGGCGGGGGCGGGGGGCGCGGGCAGAGCTGGTTACCTGACTCTGAAAAATCTTTGCGGGTTAGCTACGCTGGAGAGTATGCCTTTCGTGTAGGAGTACTGTATTTGAATTAAAAGCACGTTTTTAAAGCATAGTGTTTTGGAACAAAGGTCTAGTGTCATTTGTTTATAACAAGGAGTCTCAAAAATGTGGGGGTTCACGTGCCCTGCGCTCCCCAGCCTTCGCCTGTACCTCCTTTATCCTGCTTTCTGCCTCAGCAGTTCCGCCAGGTGGCCACCAGGTGGCGCTCTGTCACAGCAGAAGCCCGCACCTCCCGCGTCTCTACCGGCTGCAGCTGGAGACCTCGGTCCTCGCACAGGGTGAGGTGCAGCCAGCCTGACCAGAGCGTTGGGCAAAACCCAGCTACTCACACAGCAGCTTAGGGGCCCCGGCAGGCCACTTTTCAGAAGCTCCAGTTCTCTCCAAAATGGGACAACAGTGAAATATCGCTTTATACCTGTTAGGAAAGTATTAGTAAGCAGGAGGCGTGCCAGCCCACCCTAGTGCGGGAATGAAGGATGCTCCAAGCTGGCTGGCAGCTAGTGCAACAATTGCATTGCATCCTTTTTTTGGTGACGTTACAGACATTGCAGTGAGCAGCCATTCCTCTCCGAGGCATATATTCCGAAAGTGTCGTCCCAGGACATAGAGTTGAGTCTGTCACCCAGTGTGGAGGCCGTGGCTGGGTGCTGGAGGCCATCCGTGCCTGGCGTGGTGGGTGGAAAAACGTGGTGGGTGAGAAAGATGGGAAGGGGCGACCTTCACACACACACGTATGTTAGCTTGTAAGAACATGTACAGATGCATGTCAGACAGATGGAACAGGGGAAGGCAGGAAGGAGGAAAGAAGAAGGAAGAAAGAGAGAAAGAGAAATAAAATGGGGATGAGAATACGAGTTTCTAGGATTGTTGTGAAAAGAACCTAAGTTGCAATAAATGCAGCACTTAGTAGGCACCCAACAAATTATTTTTTTTCTATTTGCACCTCTATACACTAACATTTATCCAGTGCTGACAGTGGCAATGCTCTAGGCACTTGTAACACAATGAGCAAAACAGGCCAAAAAGACAAATTCCTGCCCCAGTGGAGCTGGCTTTCTAGTAGCTTCTAGCCTACTCCACCAAATTGGGCATAAAAGAAAGGGCACGTTTTCCTAAATCAGATGACTGTAAATCTGATTTTATGGCCCTGCCACCTTGGACTGATGGTAAATTCTGTCATTAGTGGGGTTCCCTCTTCACCCCCAGGTCTCAGGACATGACACGTTGGGATGTGTGCATTCCAGGCACCTGGCCCCAGTAGACTGGCCACTGCTGAATTGCTCCAGGGTGCACCCCACAAAAGCCTGGAGGAGCCTGGAGCTGGGCCCCGACAATGCCCAGTGGCCTCCTCTCCTGCAGCCTGCACCTTCTTCTCACCCTCAGGTTCACCTCAGAGAACCCCAAAGTAGGCAGCTGTCTGCAGACACGGAATGCCCTGGCAGGTGAGCCACACTCTTTGGGGAGCTGGGAAGAGAGGGAGCATCTCAGAGAACCAGCCCAACAAAGTCTCAGACTTCAATCTTCCTCAAGAGGCCATACCAAACACGGACTCACAGTCAACAGCCCTGATGCTGTCCACATGTCTGGATTCTGCTCATCCGGCACACAACGGTTCAGCTCCCTGAGTGGTGTGTGAGGCTGTGAGTGGTGACTGTTGACGGAGCTGTGAGGACCTTGGTGGCAGGTGTCCGGACCAAGGCAGGTGACTTGGCCGCCAACAATAGCCAACTCTGACTAACTTTGATCAAAATACAAACTGCACATGCATGCAATGTACTGTGCATGTGTGCACACATGTGTGTTGTGTGTGCACGTGTCTGTATGTGTGTATCCAGTGGGTATGTGTGTTTTCCCGTGTGTGTATTTATGTGCACGTTTGTATACAAGATACACGTGTGTGTGATGTCACATAGTTTGTAGAAGCAGCAGCTTAGCTGCTTTCTGGTCTAGTATCTGCCTGAGAGAGACAATCCAGGGAGATGATCTGATTCTCCTCTCCCTGTTCAGGGCCCCCATCTTTTGGCCAAGGGAGAAAGGTGCCTGGTGAGGGGCAGCCCCCAAGGCCACTCACAGTGGAGAAGGTGCTTATTAAGTATCTACTGCAGGGTACGGACTTCTGAGTCTCAGTTTCTGGGGGTCAAGACTCCCGGAGAATGAGGTTGGGTGCTTCTGGCCCAGGTGGTCTGTCAAGCTGCAGCCATCTGAGACAGTGCCGGGGTCATCCCACAGCTGCCTCGTGGGTGCTGCCAGCCCCACGCCTGATGCCATGGCGCTGACTGGCTTCCAAGAGAGCACAGCAGGAGCCCGCATGTGCTCACCTGGAGGTCCCGGGTCCTGGTGGCTGCACAGTTGGCCTATTCCACGTGGGAGGGCACATCAAAGGACGTGAAGACCCAGAGTCCGAGGCAGTGGGGCCATCACGGGGACTGACTGCCCTCCAGGGAAGAAGAGGCAGCGGGGAAGCAACCAGAAATAACAGCCGCCTTGGAGTCCCCAGTCTAGAGGAAGACTGAAGAACGGCCTGTGTCGGTAATTGTTGGCTGAGGACACGTGCATCAGTGCAAAGTGGAACCCAAAGAGGGAGCGATCTGAGTAGGAGGGTAAATAGAAGTTCACAGCAGAGGTGGCATGAAGGCCAGAGCAGGCAATGACGGGAGTAGGGATCAGGGGTGGGGGTTCGACCGAGCTGACAGGGAGACTGGACAGAGAAAGCCTTTGAAAGCCCCCAAGTGCAGATATGGGGCACCGCCCCCCGGCTTCCTGCCCCCAGAACTCCAGTTCTCTGGCTGCCAAGGGAGTCGGACTTAGCGTCTCTGCTGGTCAGGCCCACCTGCCCCAGCTAACTGGCCTTCTAGGATGAGGCATGGGCCCTGCCCTGCTGAGCCTGCCCTGCACCCCAACTGAGAGCCATAGTGGGGTGGCGCCTCCATGGCCACCCAGGGTCACGTGCCCTGGCCTCCCTGGCCATTCTGGGACTGAGGACACCATCGGGCCCTACCACCAGACTTGGCCATCCCCCCCACCCCCGCACGCACACATAAATTCCCACTGGCTCCAGGCCAGCGGGATATGAGCTTCAGCGGGGCCAGGGGAGCTGCCTTGCCTAAGGCATCCGCCTCCCCCGGGGCACATTAGGCAGGCTTCGCTGGTCAGAGCAGGGCGAGTCTGCAGAGAAACGGGCTGGGGAGGGGGCTCAAATCCCCAGAGGGGAGGGCTGCCTGGTCCCAGCTGTAGAAACAACAAAGGGGGGCACACAAGGCCCTCTCCCTCCTCCCCCTGGTGGGAAAAGGCGGAGGAAGAAGAGGAAATTAAGATGCAGCCTTGATGCCTTTGCTGCAGCCTAAATAGTCAAGGGCTGGAGTCAAGTTCACCTTCCCACAGGCAGAGCCCAGCACCCAGGAGCCAAGGATGCCTTCCTATAGGTTCCCTGCAGTATGCACCCAGGACCCAAGCAGGAGGGGAGGGGCGCAGCTCTGCCTACACCCCAAGGGGCCACTGAACACCAGCCCACCAGCTCCAAAAGAAGCTAACTCTCAGGTCCAAAATAAAATTCCCTATGGCCACCAAGCTTAGAGGGACAGGCCTTGTCCCAGAGCTGCTAAAACCTCAACAGCAGGAGGGTGAGAGGTTGGAGAAAGGGGGGTGTCCCAGCACACCCAGTTAGGAAACTGCAGAGCCAGGACTCAACCCAGTTTAGACAAGCAGGCCTGGGGCCCTTTTTAAATCATTCATTGACTCAAGCATTCAGTCAACTTATGGCAAATATTTCTAGAGCTCTTCCCTCGTGGCAAAGACTTCCCTGGCCCAGGGATCTTGTGATGAGCAAAAGCAGACATGGTCCCACCATGTGGAGCTCACATGGAAGTGGGGGAGACAGACCTTACACAAATTTTAAAAATATCTAATCACTGGGCCTCCCCTGGAGGCAGCAGTTGAGCGCTGGACTGCGAAGCTGCCCGCAGCCTCTGCAGCGCCAGTTTGATCCCCGGCCACCGGCAAGGGTCCCACATGGCGCAACACATCTCTCCTGCCACGCCCGCTGCTCCCCTCAGCAGTGTATTTCATCAGTCTGCCTGTTCTGTTCCCTGCTCTGGCTCTGGTGAATTCTCTCACCATCCCGCACTTCTGACTGTACCCAGTGCTTGTATAAATAAAATAAATAAATCTTTAAAAATATTTTAAAAAATCTAATCACTAGGTGTGAAGAAAAGAAAAGGCACTTTTCTTTTATTTATATATTTTTTAATTGAGGTAACATTGTTTTATGACACTACATGAGTTTCAGATGTGTAGCATAGACTACAGAAGCTTACAACCACAGGTCAAACTACCATCATCACAAAATCACAGTGAGACATCACCTCACACTTGTTAGGATGAAGAGGTGCTTGTAAATCATGTCCATGCACCAGCAGATATAAACATTGGGATCGATTAATAATGTCTGTCATGGCCACTGGAATGGGAGGTGGCGGCATGCGTGACAGATACATATTTTGCCTGATGTATGCGCTCGCTGAGGATCCTCCCAAAAGAACTAGACACATTTCCAATTCTCCTGAAATTTGCTGTGAGATAAGTGGAGAAATATTTGCAGAAGAAGCCAGGATACAAGGGGGGTTGCTAACTTCATTCATGGAAAATTCAAGGAAATGACATAAAACCAGCAAGGAGTGATCAGTTGCCACTAGGGTGATGTTAGTGAAACCTTGAAGGACACACGACTTGGGAGCTTGTTGAGGAAAAGGCTCTCACGTTAAGGAGGAGAACGTACTTACATCAAAGAATGTTGGGTCATCTCTGCTTCTGGCCTGGCTCAGAAGGACTTCTCTGTTCCTGGTCTGATCCCCCCACACCTGTGACTCATTCAGGCACAATCTCTGATGAGGCACTTCTCCCCAGCATTCAGAGCTCCAGCCCTGCCATAGACCCATGGTGAGGACAGACCTTCTGTCAGCCCGCTCCACCCAGCAGAGGTCTTGGTGGATCTTGTTGCTTGACTGGGCTTCTGAAATTGAGCCCATGGACCACGG